ATTTATTTATTTTTATTGATAAAATTTTGGCTTAATATTTAAAATAATTTTATTTTATATATATATATATATATATATATTTTATTTTTTTTTTTTTTAAGTAAGATTGAAAGTAACTTAAGAAATGTATTGTATATGTATATAAAAAAAAATATTTTTGCCACGAGCGAAAATTCGCTTACTGGCCCTATGAGTGCGGATTGACGCACATCAGTTTTTGTTTGCTTATAATATAACTTATCCAGTCAAGCGTCTGTATTGGCGAACGGCTGCGCCTGCAACCTGAGCACCGATACCCTGGGCAACAATGTGGATGATCTCTTGTGGCACATCAACTTCGTTGGTCAATTGCACTAAAGCTTTGCCAATCATATTGCCAGTTTGTTCTGCATCGAGGAGGGCGAAGCGCTTCATGTTGGTCAGGGTGGAACCTAAGTTGATGATGACAAGGTCGCCCTTGGTGGCTTTCGGGTGCTTCCACGATTCACTGTAGTCTTCTTCACTTGAAGTGGCTGCCTGATTGCCATCATCGTAGTCTCGAATGGCTGATCAAGTCAAAGTGCTTTTTAGTGCATAATTTTTAAGCACAAAATTTTAAAATGTTGCAATTTAAGCAAACCAGGATTCAGGCTGATCTGTGCAGCAAAGCACTAGACTGCCACTGTGCAATTCAAATCTAAGCACCGGTTGGCAGGATAGCTTTTTTTTGCAAATTAATTTTCGCAAAAAGCTGGCAGGATCGCCATGTATCGAATGAAACAATTCATTTATGTTTTAATTGTATTGAATTTATTTTACTGAGCAACTCAATGTCGCTTTGTAGGTTCTTTTACAATTGAATTCTTAGCCTAACATATTGGGGTATTTATGGGAAATAATTGCTGCATAAGCATAAATAATATTATAAATAAATTGAAGCTTAAAGTTAGTTTGTTTGACGGTTTGGCACGTGTGCCTGACAATGCGTGAGTTCTATATTCAAAATATTCAAACAACTGAAATATGAAACCCTTGTTGTTATGAATAAATTAAATAATTATAAACGTTAAGCATGGTCGACTTTCAGTTACACTACAGCGCATTTTAGTGTAGGTATCTTAAATGTGCACTTAAGCATAGAGGCAGCAAAGCAAAATATACTGTATGTGGTTTTGCGTTACAACTCATATTTTATTTCGTAATATTTTTTTATAACCTTATATACCTTCCAGGTATGCGACCCTTAAAAAGTTAAAATAAGAATGGCTTCAAACAAGAAAGGTGTAAAAATTACTTACCTTCAGTACCTTTGT